ACTACCCCAACCTCCTGCTCCTCCCTATCCATGCTCCACATCTTCATCCACACAACACAGGGCGACATCTGTTGGCCGACCATAGCATTTCCAGCTGTTTCCGAAACTTCAGACTCAGGATATTCGAACCCTCATTGGCTGGATAGTGGACACAAACCTCACTGTGCATTGAGTGGACTGTTTTTGCTTGCGCAGTACATTAATATATTAATAAGATACAATGATGTCCGTTGGCAATTGGTGCAGAGTTCTTCTGGGGAGTAGAGATTTTTGCGATATGAAGGCGACTCTCAAAGCCAGAAAAAATCCCCATCGAATTTTCTGGTGGTATTTTTAAAGTTCCATAAATTGCCCATTATGTCATCTCACCGACGAAAAATACCTCATCCCGGAATTTTGGGATGAAATTTTTCAGTTCAGAAAATGTTCTCCTCGGAAAATGGTTCCAAGCGGATTTTCCGGAAAAGCTTTTAGGGTTCCAACTGGTCGTCTATCATAGAGTTCGGTTTGAGGATTCCGGCTTGAGATGTTACTGTATGAAAAGATAAATACCTCCTCGACTTATGACCGCCGCAGTCGTACAATTTTTTCAAATTACGTATTTTCAGGTCCCAGTGTTAGTGATCGGCTGTGTTTGACAAAATTTTCGTTTGTAATTCCCTTTAAAATGGTGTGGCGTAAGGTGAGACATGATATGCCGGTTGGGCTAATCCTATAAAAAAATCTTTAGGTTTCAGAGCTTTTTCGGTTTTCGGAATTTCGGATAGTGTTGTCCTGTGTACCTTCTCCTAAGGAAGTGTCTTAGTGCACTTATAGGGAAACATAAGTGAGGTGTTCACTGGGTAACAAGTGATATGAGTTTTCGCTCTCTCTGCTCAGGCGTGACTGGGAGGCGAGGCTAAAATCAGCTTGACCTCTGGCTCAACCTCTGTGAAGTTGCAGACCTCAGCATGTATGACATGAACTACAGCTACTCCTCGACTTACATACTGTGCATGGCCGTGCCCAAAAAATCGTATTTTTTGAGTTCAATAGTGATCATGTGTACTGACAAAATTTTTTGTTTGCCATTCTTTAAAATAGTCTTAAAAGGTAAAAAGGTTCTTTGGTGAAAAAAGAGACACCCAGAAATTTATGTAAATCTACCCAAAGATACAGTTGAAATTTTTTTACATTATTAAAATGTACTATGTACTTAAATTTTTATCTTGTGCAAATATATGTCACTTATATTCAAATTAATCACTATCTTATAAGAATTCCAGCAATGTAAATTATATTCTCCCCAGTCACATCTATGACATTTTATAAGCAAAAAACAAAAACTCAATCTAAAGGACATAAATAAACAAATAAATACTTCACTAGACCTTCGGTGCTAACTGACTTTGTGTGTTTTTTGGCTTTACTTTGAATGTACTTTTCTGTAAGCTCGAACCAATTACCCAATATCCCATTGAAATAATGGATTCGGTTAACGAACGACTCTGTGTCCTCCAATATTGCAGTGAAAGGTGAATCATCTTATCATGAATCATTAATTACCATTAAAGTAAAGCAATAATAATGAGATGCGTTCCCAAGTGTGACCTTTTCTTATCTTTTGTGTGGCTTTTTACCCCTTTTTCCCCAGAAAACAATACAATTAATGAAAATTACAAACTATATTCTTTAAATAATGTTTCTTAATGCACCTTATACAATATAAATGAATAATAATATGGTCACACAAGAGGAGATGGGACGCCATTGTTTTTGTTTGTGTTTACAGCCGGGAGTCCTGGACGATAGTTGTAGCTGTAGTAAAATTAATGTAAAAAAATTAATATATATGTTTTAAGTAATGCTATTTAATGTTAATAAATGGAACAATCGAAGTAGCTAACCACTAATGGCAAAGAAAAAAAAAGAGATGGATTGGGAACGCCAACATATACGAGCGCATTTAAGGATACCGCATAATTTATCTTAAGAATATGTACAAAAGATTCATTATTGTTTATTACTGAATATGTATTTGATTGAATTAATCTTCATATATGCGAAATGAACAATGCAATTCATTAATACGTAGAATATTAAAACACACAAGAGTATAACAGACGGCATTGTTGTCAGTGTCTACACCCAATGTATACGTGCGCACTCAAGGAAACATAGTCATTTATCTTAAGAATATGTACAGAAGATTCATTATTGTTTATTACTGAATATGTACTGTATAGTGGTCCCTCGGTTAATGAACACAATTCGTTCCGCAGAGTCGTTCGTTAACCGAAAATTTTGTTAACCGATGGACGTTCCGGCGTCAGGTATTCTAAGATTGGGGCGGGATCCATTGTTGTCCCTTTGTGTTTTGCACTAAGTAAACATTTAGAAATGTGATGCTCGATGTCGGTCCTCATAGATTTCCAATAATATTTTTGTCTAATTTCTCTTTGACATCTGTCTCGCCCTGGAGGCCCAGCTTGGGGGTGCATCATGGAAGGGGGTGAGGATGTTTTCCTTTAATGATGTAGGAATATAATATGTCATGCCGCAGCTCAAACTGTGAGAGTGGTAGAGGTTATTTGGGAAAATTTACCTTATCTCCCGATTCTAAGGCATATATAACCTTGGACCATAACTGTGACAGGGTGAACGTAGGTAGTGGCGTGACAGGAGCTATGTGTTTAGATAACAAATCAGCTACCACGTTCGCACGGCCCGGCAAATACTTGAAGTCGGGTGCCAACTCCTGTAAGGTCAGATACCAGTGCGCTAAACGCCCTGATAAGTTCTTCCCATTAAATAGTTCTGTCACGGCTACATGATCTGTGTGGACTGTGATCGGATATCCCAAAATGAGATCCCGAAAATGCTTGAGAGCTCACACTACAGCTAATGCTTCTAAGTGAGTAGCGGAATAACGTGTTTCTGCATCGTTGAGGGTGCGACTGGTGTATGCTATTACCCGCCATTTTCCTCGATTATCAATTGGCATGAGCACCGCCCCTAAACCTAGGTCCAAGGCATCAGTACACATGGTAAATGGTTTCTTGTAGTCCGGAAAGGTTAACACTGGAGCTTCCGTTAAGCTGCTATTGAGGCCATTAAAACTGTCCTCTTGTTCTTTATTCCATGTTAACTCACATCCTTTTTGAGGAGTTTTGTGAGTGGTGATGCTAACTTGGCATAACCTTTAATGAAGGAATGGTAGTATCCTGATAATCCTAGGAAACTACGAAGCTGATCTACGTTCTTGGGACAAGGGAATTGCTTCACCGCCTTTACCTTGCAAAGTATTGTGTGTATACCATTGCCATCTACTACGTGACCAAGAAATTAGATTCTGGATTTGACAAATTTACATTAGGAAAGTTTCACTTTCAATCCAGCTAGATGTAGCTTTGTGAAAACTTCACATAGTTTCTTTAGATGGCTTTGTAAATCTTTGCTTACTATGATAAGATCATCTAGATAGGCGTAGACTGTGTTACCTATCATTCCAGTAAACAAGGTGTTTATCATTCTTTGGAATGTTAGCAGCACATTTCTTAGGCCAAATGGCATTCTCAAGAATTTGAAATGTCCCATAGGTGTGCTGAACGCATTTATCTCGCGGGAATCCTCATGTAAGGGAATTTGCCAGTACCCGCTAAGTAAATGTAAGTTGCTGAAGACTGGGTTGTCTTTTCCTAGTGACTGTAGTAAGTCAGTTAGGACAGGCATTGGGAACTTGTCTGGTACAGTTACCTGATTGACTCTCGAAAATCTATGACTGGTCTCTATCCTCCATCTTTATGGGAACTAAAAATAAAGGTGAGTTCCATGGTGATGAGGAAGGTTGGATCACCTTTTGGTCCACCATGTCTTGTACTATTTGCTGGACTACCGCTCTTCTGCTGTGGGGTAGCCTATATGCTGGGATGCAGATTGGGTTAGCTTCCGGTTTGAGTGGAATATGATGATTTGTCAATGTTGTTTTACCTCGGGGTTCTCCAGGTAATGCTATGATTTCCTTGAACTCGGCGAGTAATTCTAAAAGATCACTTTTGCCTTGAGGATGATCGACTACTTTCACGTGTGGCACTATTAACGCTACTTTATTTACAATATGTGATATTTCGTCTGATTTATCCTGTGTTACATTACCTATTGGTAATTCTAAGGGCTCTTAGACAACCACCTTGTCATAAACAAGGAAATTACCTAAACAACACCCCTCTCTTAAGGTAATGGGTCCCCCAGTTCTATTTAGAACGAGGACATCTGTGAGACTACATAATCTAACAGTGCTTAAGGTAGACTCAAGTGACAAACCTTTCACTCATGAACTTTCATTCAGACACACAACATCTGTTCCTTCACTCACATTTGGCAAACTTACTGTGACTAGTTAGTTCCTGGCTATGTAACCGTTGTGCACCAGTTAACACAGCAGGCGTTAGAGTCCAGTTCTGGTCGCTTTCATCAGAAATGTCCTTTGAGCCACTAGTTGGAGTTTCAGAGTGACTCCATAACTAATTGCTGCTGTGCCAAAGACTCCCCCGTGCCTGTCGAAGCAGTTATTACACGAACACCCGAAGTAAGTAATGGATGTGAAGTTTGCATTGCGTGATATGTTTTACAAGTATGCTTGATTGTTTGATCTCAAGGCTGAACTTTATGTTGTTCTGCCTTAGAGTGGTCAGACCAAGTATCCCATCCGATGGCAAAGAAAATGCTTTAACTATGTAGAAATCTGCCAAAAGCGCTTTACTGGACCTAGAAAAACGGAGTGGTAGTGCTATCACCCCCACTACGTCTAATTGGATTCCCGACACACCGGACAGAGGAATGTTTGTAGGTCTTATTGGCCACTTATTTGGAGGATATCGCCGCTGGAGTTCATTGAACGACTTTAATGAGATAACATTGGCACAGGCCCCCGTATCTATATCTAGGGATAACTGATTGTTACCTATCCTCTCTGGTACAGTGAACCTCCTCCACTTTGTTTAACACGGCGATTAATGAGCCGGTGATGGAAGCGTTGTTTTCTTGAACCGTCGACGCTATCCTAGATCGTGTTGCTGGACGCGCTCCTCTTCCCCTGAAGGCTGTGTACTTGTCTCCCGTAGATTTTCCATTTTTTGCCTCATATGATGTATATTTCTACAATCTTCTGTGTTGTGGTATGGAGACTGATGTACTGTACTCCATTTATTCGGAGTGCCTGTAGTGTTTGGAGACATTTTATTTCCTGTGTAATGTCCCTTTGGAGTTTTTGGTTTAGCAGGACTATCTGAAATTTTAAGGTCCTGCGAGGATTCTTTTCTTTGATCTTGCTTCTGGCTGGCTGGGGACTTATCTGCTTGTCCTGCAAACCAGCATTTTTCTGTGGAATGTCCCTTACGTTTGCAGACTGCAAAAATGTATCTTTTTGGGTTTGGTTCCCATGACAGACTGTGGTTGCTCCTTGAAGCTGGTGACTGGTGCCACTGAGATCGCCCTAGGAATATTTTCCTTGGGTTCCGCAATTTCTTCTACGTGTTCTACAAGTTTAGTCCCTTTTTTAACTCTTTCTTTTGGGCTTTCGTGCGTAAGGGTTCATTTGATGACAAGATAAACTGAAGGAGTTCAATAATCCTGTAGAAATTTACTTTAGACATGTCATTTTTATCGATCCAATCTGAGGAATCCATGTAAGATCTGAGATCTATCTTAGTGAGTCCCGAACAAATTTGGGCTTCTTGTGCTTCATGTGTAAGCAGAGTTGCACCTGTCCTCTCTGCCATCTTAAAAATCCAATTAAGTGGACCTCCTTTGGAGCCCTTTCCAAAAAATAAATGAATTGCTGCCTTAATGTTGGATAATCATCCGTTTCTTCGTCAATGGCTGAAGCAAAGATACCTCTAGCTGCACGACTACCTGTTTTGATAAGGCTTCATACTTATGAAATTTTATCTATGTCATTGGTGACATCGTTATTTCTCATTACATCTTCGCATTTACTCAAAAATGCTAAACTAGTATAATCACTGTACCGGTATAAAAGAAAGACCTACTGTATTTTCACTATAATAAAATACAACATTGCATGTAAGTTAAGTATATTGTCTTCAATGTCTGTGGCAAACTAATAATAATTTTTTAATTAGTAAATTAATTAATTAATTAATTATTAACACAATTTATAAATCTGACATTGTACACTACACCAAAAATAAAGTTGAAAGAGGCTGTTAGTCTAAAATATCAAGGCTGTATCTATACAATGTGTGTGCCTTAGTTTGTTTAAAATTCAGCTTAAATAACTAAGCACCACTATGGGGAGGTCTGTGTCCCACCACTTATGTTATTGGGACTACACCACTGACTGTATCAAAGAGCCTAACCTAACCTAACCAAGAAAACCATCAGATGAAATTTTCCTGTAAGCTCGTTGATAATTATGATTTTATTTACATGTGTTTAATATTCTGCAGGTGTTGATAGTCATGCCGACAGTCACAAGATTCATGACGGTGGATGAACTGACCCTGGAGGAGGTGAAGACCTTACAGCCTCCGGACACCCAACATTGTCTTGTCAGCCAGGCCGAGACTGGCATACAACCCAATACTAGGGTGTTCATTGTGAGTCTTACGCTTTATGTCACTATGACTATCTCACTGTTATGCTCTGTGTCACTATCTCACTGTTATGCTCTGTGTCACTATCTCACTGTTATGCTCTGTGTCACTATCTCACTGTTATGCTCTGTGTCACTATCTCACTGTTATGCTCTGTGTCATTATCTCACTGTTATGCTATGTCACTCTCTCACTGTTATGCTCTCTGTCACTATCACTATCTCACTGTTATGCTATGTCACTATCTCACTGTTATGCTCTATGTCACTATGACTATCTCACTGTCATGCTGTGTGTCACTATGACTATCTCACTGTTATGCTCTGTGTCACTATCTCACTGTTATGCTCTATGTCACTGTGACTATTTCACTTATGCTCTATGTCACTATCTCACTGTTATGCTCTGTGTCACTATGACTATCTCACTGTTTTGCTCTGTGTCACTATCTCTCTGTTATGCTCTGTGTCACTATCTTACTGTTATGCTCTGTGTCACTATCTCACTTTTATGCTTTGTATCACTATCTCTCTGTTAAGCTCTGTGTCACTATCTCACTGTTATGCTCTGTGTCACTATGACTATCTCACTGTTATGCTCTGTGTCACTGTGACTATCTCACTTATGCTCAATGTCACTATCTCACTGTTATGCTCTATGTCACTATGACTATCTCACTGTTATGCTCTGTGTCACTATGACTATCTCACTGTTTTGCTCTGTGTCACTATCTCACTGTTATGCTCTGTGTCACTATCTCACTGTTATGTTCTGTGTCACTATGACTATCTCACTGTTATGCTCTGTGTCACTATGACTATCTCTCTGTTATGCTCTGTGTCACTATCTCACTGTTATGCTCTTTATGTCACTATGACTATCTCACTGTTATGCTCTCGTCACTATCTCACTTATGTTTCAGTCACTATCTTGTTTTATTATGCTCTGTCACCACCATCTCACTGTGTGCTATGCCTCAGTCACTATCTCAATTGTTATGCCTGTGTCACTATCTCACTTTTATGCTTTGTACTACCATCTCACTGTTGCTGTGTCACTCATCTCTGATTGTTATGCCTCGGTGTCACCATCTCAATTGTTATGCTCTGTGCTCACTATCTCAATTTATGCCTCTATATCACTATCTCACTGTTATGCTCTATGTCACTATGACTATCTCACTGTTATGCTCTGTGTCACTATGATCAGTCTCAATTGTTTTGCTTTGTGTCACTATCTCACTGTTATGCTCTGTGTCACTATCTCACTGTTATGCTCTGTCACTTCATCTCACTGTTATGTCTCTGTGTCATTATCTCACTGTTATGCTCTGGTGTCAACATCTCAATCTATGTCACTATGACTATCTCACTGTTATGCTCTATGTCACTATGACTATCCCACTCTTATGCTCTATGTCACTATCTCACTGTTATGCTCTATGTCACTATGACTATCCCACTGTTTTTCTCTGTGTCACTATCTCACTGTTATGCTCTCTGTCACTATCTTACTGTTATGCTCTCTGTCACTGTCTCACTGTTATGCTCTATGTCACTATCTCACTGTTATGCTCTGTGTCATTGTCTCACTGTTATGCTCTGTCACTATCTTACTGTTATGCTCTCTCACTATCTCACTGTTATGCTCTGTGTCATTATCACAGTTATGCTCTGTCACTATCTCACTGTTATGCTCTCTGTCACTATCTCACTGTTATGCTATCTGTCACTATCACTCACTGTTATGCTCTGTGTCACTATCACTATCTCACTGTTATGCTCTGTGTCACTATCTCACAGTTATGCTCCCGGTCACTATCTCGCTGTTATGCTCTCTGTCACTATCTCACTGTTATGCTCTCTCACTATCTCACTGTTATGCTCTATGTCACTATGACTATCCCACTGTTTTTCTCTGTGTCACTATCTCACTGTTATGCTCTCTGTCACTATCTCACTGTTATGCTCTCTGTCACTGTCTCACTGTTATGCTCTATGTCACTATCTCACTGTTATGCTCTGTGTCATTATCTCACTGTTATGCTCTGTCACTATCTTACTGTTATGCTCTCTCACTATCTCACTGTTATGCTCTGTGTCATTATCACAGTTATGCTCTGTCACTATCTCACTGTTATGCTCTCTGTCACTATCTCACTGTTATGCTATCTGTCACTATCACTCACTGTTATGCTCTGTGTCACTATCACTATCTCACTGTTATGCTCTGTGTCACTATCTCACAGTTATGCTCCCGGTCACTATCTCGCTGTTATGCTCTCTGTCACTATCTCACTGTTATGCTCTGTGTCACTATCTCTACTGTTATGCTCACTATCTCACTGTTATGCTCTGTGTCACTATCTCACTGTTATGCTCTGTGTCACTATCTCACTGTTATGCTTTGTGTCACTATCTCACTGTTATGCTCTGTGTCACTATCTCTCACTGTTATGCTCTGTGTCACTATGTGATATCTCACTGTTATGCTCTGTGTCACTATCTCACTGTTATGCTCTGTGTCATTATCTCACTGTTATGCTCTGTGTCACTATCTCACTGTTATGCTGTGTGTTACTATCCCACTGTTATGCTCTGTGTCACTATCTCACTGTTATGCTCTGTCTCTATCTCACTTATAATCTGTGTCACTATCTCACTGTTATGCTGTGTCACTATATCACTGTTATGCTCTGTGTCACTATCTTACTGTTATGCTGTGTCACTATCTCACTGTTATGCCCCGTGTCATTTTCACCATCTCTCTGTTATGCTCTGTGTCACTATCTCACTGTTATGCTCTGTGTCACTATCTCACTGTTATGCTCTGTGTCACTATCTCACTGTTATGTCTGTGTCACTATCTCACTGTTATGCTCTGTGTCATTATCTCACTGTTATGCTATGTCACTCTCTCACTGTTATGCTCTCTGTCACTATTACTATCTCACTGTTATGCTATGTCACTATCTCACTGTTATGCTCTCTGTCACTCTCACTATCTCACTGTTATTCTCTGTCTGCAGTGGTGGACAGGTGGGAGGAGAGATACTGAAAGTGGGTAACATTAGAGTGGGTAGTACTGTTAAGCTGGGTGGATGGTGGCGTGTCTGAACCAGGGGCAGGCTGAAAGAGAATCTGAGTCTTAAGTACATTCTCCTCAAGGCTGAAGTGTGCATACTCATATGCATAGGTATTCAGGATCTCCTGTAGGTCGCGTTCAGTGTAAGCGACAAGGGTGAGGTCGTCTGCATGATGAAGTTCAGTAATGGAAGCTTCCGACACCTTTGTTCTTGCCTGGAGTTGTCTTATGTTGAAAAGATCCTTCATCCATTACTCTATGTCCACCCCGTCGGCTAAATTGGATGTTGAAGAACTTTGACCGGATGCCATTGTGCAGGACACTGCCATTCATGCCGTAGTGGAGTTGCCTCACAATGGCGATGAATTTTGGTGGGCAGCCAAACCGGCTGAGGGTCCGCCAGAGGGCTTCCCTGTTGACCAAGTCAAAGGCCTTGGTTAGGTCGATAAAGGCCCTGTACAGATCACGATGCTGTTCTCTGCACCTTTCCTGTATCTGGCAGGCAGCAAAGATCATGTCAATGGTGCCACATGATGGTCTAAAGCCACATTGAGATTCTGGGAGGACTCAGGTAGATAATCTTGCTAGCTACGGACAGCAGTGACATCCCGCAGTAGTTGCCACAGTCTGACCGGTCTCCCTTGTTCTTATAAATATTAACAATGGAGGCGTCTTTATGAGCTTGAGGAAGTTCCTCCTTTTCTCATATATTCTCCAGGAGAGAGTGGAGACGGCTGGTAAGCAGAGGTCCTCCTGGTTTATACACCTCGTCTGGGATTCCATTAGGCCCTGAAACTTTGTTATTTTTCATGTGTTTGATGGCAGTAGTTACCTCATCCAGGGATGGTGGATAGCTGAGATGGGTCAGCTGAGGTACCTGCTGGGTAGTCAGGACATCCACATTGGTGTTTCAGTTGAGCAGTGAATGGTAGTGCTCTTTCCAGCATTGAAGGGGGCCTTCATCGTCTTTAATTACGAATTTACCATCAGATGACTGGAGGGGCTGCGCAACGAGTGATTGGCCCATAAAACTTTTTAGTGGAATTGAAAAATTTGCGCAGCTTGTGCGGATTTGCAAATGTTTGTGTTTCACATGCTTTATTTTTAAGCCAGTCATTCTTTAGATTACGAAGTTCCCGCTGGGCCGCTGCTTTCTTCTTGCGGAAGGTATCGGCTTTGGTTTGAGACTGAGGGATGTTTTGCCAGTCAGATAAATCAGCATGTTTATCATTGATGAGTACAGTACATTGATTGCCGGGTCATTTACATTAAACCAGTCCTGATGTATTCCTTTGATCTGGCCGAGGGTCTCTACAGTTTTTTGTTATATCAGCCCATGTTCGAGTTGGTTTCTGCAAGCAGGCGCTTCCGTTAATCCTCCAGACCTTTAGTATTAAAACCTTCTGGAGGCTTGCTGCCTCCGCCATTTTGGGGTGAATGAAGTGAGAGCTGGGCTCTGACAAGTCGATGATCAGTGTCACAGTGGTCTGAGTCACACATGGTACGGGTGATGAGGACATCTCGGCGATCTCTTTCTCCGATAATGATGTAGTCAATGAAATGCCAGTGTTTGGATCTTGGGTGTTGCCACGAACCCTTGAACTTGTCGGCCTGCCTAAACAAGGTGTTGGTGATAGTGAGGTTGTGTGTAGCACACTTGCTGAGGAGGAGTAGGCCGTTGAAATTACACTTGATTAGTCTATTTCACCCTATGGTTCCCTGCCAAATGTCAGCATCTCTACCAACTCTGGCATTGAAGACACAAAGGAGCACAACCTTGTCTTCTCTGGGGATAGAGGTTAGCACTGTCGAGGTCGGCATAAAAGGCCTCCTCGATATCTTCCTCTGCATCCAGTGTTGGGGCGTATGCACTGATGGAGAAGGCATGACATGAGTAATTCAGTGGGAATCGAACGTCA